TCTTTATGATGCATTTTCTTGTCATACTTAAGAACACATTTTACATTTTCCTTTTTTCATTTAAGAAGCTTATGATGAACTTTTCAGGACAAAACATCTCACAGAAATGCAGCCTTGGAAACGACTATGATATAGCTTCCATTTGACTGAATTACAAGGTACTATCATGAGCTTTCTTTTCTAATTTATCTGACTTGCAGAACTCCTTACCAAACATTTCCAACACTTGATTGTGATTTTCTTTTTGCAATTTAAAGTTTTTAGCTTTAAAATTTTGTACTCTTAAACCAACAGCTTACCCGAGTGATGTCACCTAATGTGTAAACTGGCAGCCATTGATGATATTATGCTGTCTTTCCCAGTTTAAGTGCATAGAAAGTTATCAGAGAATTTTTTTTTTATTTTTATGGTAGATGAAAATACATGTGTACTTTAGTATTTGGATTGAGAAGCAGATGTGGAAAAACTTTTTTGACTGCTTGGCTACAGGCCAGCTTGTGGCTTTCCCCATATACGTATGTCATGTTTGGAAACAGTACAAATCAAGATACCGTTATCCATTTTGGACTCTAGGGATTCAGCCCTTGAGCAAAATCAGAGGTTTAGTGTAGTCTGGAATCCTCTTAATCATCAGATATAACTTTTTGGAAGCTGAAGGTATATGCATGGAAATTCAATGTAATTTTAGAGAAATATTCAGTTCTTACTGCTCAGGACTTAGTTTTGATTGACATGTGATTTTAGCTATATAAACACAGGTCCATCTCTTCTTTCTTTGAAAAAGATAAATCAGAAAGAATGGGACAAAAGAGAATATAAAAGAAGGGAAGTGAACTGCTGAGAAAGGAAGAAAGGAGACGGGTTTCATTTTCTTTATCCTTGATTGTTGCAAAACAATTTGTTTCAGCTTGATAATCTAAAACTGGATAGGCAACAATTTGGTTACCCCATGACATTTGATTTGTGGATTTTAGTAAGAAGTACATAGAAAACTTCACTGTTCTTCATGTCTATGATTTGTAGACTCTACTTGGCATTGTTACTTACGAAACATGGCATTTAGAAGTAAAAAGTAAGAGGGATTGCTTGCTATTTTAGGTGACATTAGTCTGAGATGCAACTACATACTTATGTAGAATGGCTATGGTGGTCTTTAGCATTTTAGTGCTGTAGCCCCATAAGGGCTATAATATATGTTGAAAAGCTTTTTACCTTAAACAAGCATGAATAATAAAATTTAATATTGTTTTTTGCTGATAGCTATGGATATTATGCCATGCATTGGATAAAACTTCTAGTTTACTTAAACATGAAAGAGCATCACTGCTCATTGATAAAAGATGATGAGAAAGCGTACTGAGTGATGAAAAACTCACTAGTTTCCAAAAAGTCAGTCTGCTGAGCTAGCTAGGGTCTGATCACGACTTCAAAACAGAGGCAATATGGTACTTTAAACAAACTTCGGTTAATCCAACACCAAAGTTCCCATTGTATGACACAAATTGCATAACAACAAAGTATCCTTGATTCCTAGTCCAACTCATCTGATGATGACAGATTATCCTTATGCCTAACCCTCATGTTAAGTCTAAGTAATAATTACATACAAAATGCTACAGAATAGTGCATAGTAGTACCATCTCCCTTTACCAGTCAAAATAATGATATCATTTAATGGAATCTATTTGATAAACTGACATCGACAACATCCAGTACTGCAGTTTATGGGCCATGGTTATGGTGCCTGATGCGCATTTCTCACAAAAAATTGCTACAGATCCTTGCAACACTAATGGTGCAGTGTAAAAGCTATTTACAGTTTCTGCAAGAAATGTTCCCTGAGTTTCTCAGAGTTATAAAATTTATTGGTGTCAGAGCCAAATTTTCTACCATCTCTACTTGGTTTTTGTTGATAAATTTCTATTTACATATGTACATGGAATGCTAGAGGTCACATGTATGACTTGATATACTTCTTTATCTTACTAAGTTGATTCCAGTTTTTAGAATTCTTGTAATTTATCTTAATTAGTTGTTACCATCATGTTTTGAAGTTAGAAAACATGAACTATTGTAACAGGTAGAATGCAGAGTCTCAATACATATTTTGCTTAAGATTACAGGTTCTATGTACTAAAAATTCCCCCTGATTATTCTCTAGTTTAGACCTGTGTTGCACTGTGGGCTACATGGAATATTGTCTTCAATGTGTTTGTGGATGTGCTTGCATGGCATTTATTGGCAGGAAAGTTTGTTTTCTTTTATTTGCAGGTGTTACAGTAATACAATGTTTTGGATGTTGCAGGATTTTGTAGTCAAAAGTTACATTCTGATGCCAAATATTGAATATCTATTAATTACTATAAACTGGTAGCTTCATATGTTACAATAACCGCAAAGATTTAACAGGCGAGAAGCTGTAACTTATTGACGCAGCACGAAGACTTGGTAGGCACAACAGCTTTGTAGAAAAGCTCAGATATCGAATTTCACCCAAATTTAAAATTGTAACTTGGAATAGGATGAGAAAATAAGCTTAAGAAGATGAAAATCTGATTAGTAATTCTAGGAGTCACTCCTAGGAATTTTTAGGAATCACTCCTAGGGGTCTTTAGGCATCATACCTAAAGTTAGGATGTATCACACAATCCTTAGAAAAGACGTTGAGTTTGCAGGAAAATTTTATTAACGATAAAATCTGACTTCCCTTTGTGGAGAAGTCATTATTTATAGGTACTAGAACAAAGCCAATTCCAATTCTAATTAGGACTCCTAACTAGAATAGAATTCTAGTAGAGAGCTAGAAAGCTAAGCGTTCTTATTCCCCATAATAACTAAAATACTAATTACCAATAATAATTACTAAGCAGAAAATTACCATAAACATAAAATTCCCGCAGCTAACCAAATTACTAAAATACCCCTGCTGGTGAAAATTAGAAAACAAACTCCATAGAATTCAAACCTACTCTCAAAGGTTCCTTGTCATCAAAAGCATGCCAAATCAATGCTTGGGCATTCGACACATCCTTCCCACGCCTCCTACAAACCATAGTAGATTTTTGCCACTTATCTCTATCACTTATGCACATTTGTTATGGAGAAAAAGAGCTTGAAAATTGTACTTCACTTAATGAGATTGTAGCAAGCTAGGTTATGAAACCAATATTCTGCTTTGGATTCACTGGTCTACGTGTTAATATTTGAGTAATAATTACAAATGGATCTCGTTATGACGGCTTCAGCTTATCTAGACTTGCCCTAGTAGTATCAAATTGCTGGATTTTGTGTATTGTTGCTGATGTCCGTAGATTTCAGATAGCTCTGATGAGCTCATATTGTTGTCCTATTCTTGAAGAAGTGTTTTACATTGGTACTGCTCGTCGTATCATTCCCCATTTGGGGTTGAAACTTAGTTAAATAGGTGCATAAAAGAGTCAATATTTTTTAATTACTGGTTTGGAAAATCTATACTGCAAATTCCTATGATTGGTAATATCTAAGAGCAAGAAATTTTCCAAATGCTAGTTTTGTGGGTTTACTTCTTTTGGGATATTGATCCAGATCCGTATTTTGAATACGCCCACTCTACTTGAACTCTGTTGTGTGCAATATTACGCAGATGGGTCTTAATTTCATACTATTCTCTGGTAAATTAGTTTATGTCATTTGAATCTATTGAACCTCTTTCTGTAGAATCTTGCAACAATTTCTTGTGTTGATGTAAAGCCATTTGAATATTAGTGAAAGATGGACTATTTTATTTAAGAGATTAATGAAATATCAGTTCTCTTTATAAACCAACACATCTTGAATTTTTTTCGTGAAAGATTGTTTTCTATACATTAAACAGTGATGATAGAATTGAATCAGTTGTTCCTTCTCAACAAAGTTATGATCTTTTTAACCAGGTATGTTTTGATTGGGAGTTGCCTAAAGAAAAAAATGTTTTGAGTGGGAGCAGGGAAATACTTATTTTTGAAATACATAGCTTGTGATTTGTCAGTGTATGCAATGGTAGTACAAAGCAGGATATAAACATTGGCATCGCATAACTACTTGGTGATAATTTTTGTCATTGCTTGTGGGTTCAAAAATTGAAATGTAAACCATTTTGTTGGAGCTCCCAAGTATAAACCACCCTGAAGTTGCACCTCTCTTGATGTGATATTTCAAGCTTTTTAGGCATGGGGGCTATGTTGGTTGCTTGGTTCTATTATTCATTATAATTCCACCAGGGGGGGTAGTTTTTGTCTTTTTTCTTTGCCAGTCCTATTCTTTGAGATTTGAGAATCACTAGTTTTTCTCTCTTTTTTTTTTTTTATGTTTGGTTTATTGCTGTTTATATTTACATACCAATTGATGAATAGTCAAGTGACTTGTCCTATGAGGTGGTAAAGGGAACTTGATGTAATCCAGAAACAACTTGACATGCTAAATGCTCGCTGAATGTCAGGGTGTGTTTATGTGTGTGTGGGTGTGCATGTGTGCATATATATGTCTATATTCTTTTTCTCTTTCTTGAAATTAGTTTTGGCCTGTTTATCGCATTGGATGGCACTACATTTGAATGATTTTTTTTTTTTTTTTTTGAATAGCCAACAAACTTGAAGTTTATGTTGTATATGTTACTGTTGAGGTAATTTGATACCTACGGTCCCTGAAATAGCTAAATGGATGAAAGCACCATTTACCACTTTTGCCTATTAAACATGCAAATCTTTTTTTGGTGCTTGTCATTCTAGAATTTTAGCCTCTAGAGTCGTAGGTAGGGTGTAAACGATCCGAGCATCGAGCGCGATTACTCTTCACATTTACAAGTTTTAGTTTGTTCTTTCTTCCTTGATAAATTTAAAATTCTGTTATTTATTAGAGTTTTTGTCTGACAATGTGATGATCTCACCTTTTTCTAGGACGTACCCTAGAAGTTAGCGGACCGCCTGCTTGGCTCTCGTCAAGATTCACTCACTCACATTAACTTCAAAGATAAGATTTCCATTAAACAACTGAACGTTCAATTCTAAGCACAATTCCAATCAACTTGAAACATAAATTTATCCAATAAAAAAAATAAATTACATGTTCTAAACATCCATTCTTAATACCACACCAAACTCATGATAAAAGGTTCGACCATTTCAAGGTATAAAGGAAATAATGACTACAATATATGCATACTAATGGATGTTCCAAAACAACTTCCTAATTCAACTTGATCATCCTTCAAACTTCAATTCCTGTAATGAAAACAAACTAAAAGTTTGAGCGAAACCCAGTGAGGTTCCATACAAGCAACAAACAATTAAACACTTAAACAAGTAGCAAAATTAAACAAATAAGGAAACAGTTCACTGAGTAATCACTGTTAAAAGGATACAATGCTCATATTAGAGTCACTTCAATGTACTACACACTTCGCCAAACTCCTCCTTATAACCTCCAAAAAAGTAAACACTTCCCTTACTTAGATGGTCATATCAGTAATCTGCTACTCCGTGGTAATATTCAAGCATATCAATACACTTACCCAAAACTACCGTCATATCCGACCAAGCTCTTTTGCTGGCTCGAATAGTCCGTTGAACAAAGGGTTTTGGGGCTCAGTTCAGCCGGTGTGATAAAATACACGCACGGCTTACAGTCATGCACACTTACAATAACACTTGGTCAATTATCAACCTTCAATCTCAAACTAAGTCAAGTGTGATAAAGTAAACACCCGACTTAGAAGGCGAGGGACAATTGAAAACACTTCATAATAAAGCACTGGCATAATCATATAAACATCATTTAAGTAACACATAAGCAATTTAAACACACAAATATGGAAACACTCACCCTAATCAATAATTACACTTCGATCTCGGAATTGCTTTCTGGCACACCGCTGTCTCCTGAGACAAGTTATAATTGCCATAATTATTTAACTACTCTTTTAGTGAAATTTTAAAAGAAAGCAGCATTGTCCTTTTACTACTTCTATACCTTTAGGTTTATTGTATTAAAATTCAACATTGGCTCTTAATAAAGAAAGTTTTAGAAATAACTATTTTAGGATACTTTATTATCTCATATATCTCTCTTTTATGGGTTAAAGTCATGCACGAAACCGGTTTACTATCCTAAGGTAAATATACAATTCATATAAGGCCACTAATCACCCACCAAATTTGGAGTTTAGATCACTAGAAACCAGGTCTTTTGACTTATTAAACAAGATACAAATTCCAGCAATGTCTCTCACATTTCTCTTCAAAATTTATCAAGTTTATTGGCTCAAAACGATGAAGATATACATCTACACCAAATTTAAAGTCTTGTGAGATTTTTAAACTAAGATTAAATCATTTTCAATCCAACTTAAAGAGTAAACCTGGTTAAACTTTTCATTTCTTCTCTCTCGGCCAAATCAACTTCCATTCAACTTTGTTGTTTAATCTCTCTCAAAATTCATCAGCTTTTCAGGACTCAAGTTCACTAAAATGAATGGGAAATACAGGGTCAAGATGTTATAAAATGCTCCATATAGATTCACAACCAATTAACCTGACTTTTTCGAAAATCTCATGAGAGTTTCATTTCCTCACACATTCGGTCAGCAAGGCAAGAATTCCAGCACAAACATTTCAAAATGTTCAACAAAACTCCACCCTTTTCTTGTTTAAAACACTAATTACTTAGTATACATTCGGTCCAGCATAAACCAAGGCAGATAACACCTAGTTCCAGCAAATTGTCCAGCCAAGAAACCATATATACTAATCTGTCATCAGCTAATTGCATCAGTCATTAAAATGGCAACTTAACATACAATCACTTCCTTAATTTCTTCTGTGTTAACTCCAACTCAACATGCAAAACAGGATTATCAAGCTACAAAGTAGCGTTAAACAGAACATATAAAAGTTCACAACTAAAATTCAATGGAAAGACTGATCAAAAGTTCATCTCTCTTTCTCTCGGCCATTCTAGCAGGTTCCATCAACTTTCTTCAAAAATTTCAGCTAGGATTTCCAAGGTTTTTATTAGTTTCAAAGGCAAATATCTTTTAGGTCAATATATGAGACATATCTCATGCATTTACTAGTAAGTGCCTCCAAAATTTCAAACAACAAGTTGCATAATCAACTCTCATTTCCTCGGCTCTAACAAAATTTTCCAGCGATGTAGCAGTTTAACATTTGATGTTTTCTCATAGTTTTCTCTTCAGTTTCATGCTCCAACTAAACATGCAGGGGATGATTATTCAACTACAGATTAACCTTAACAAAACATGGAAATTTATAACCAAAATTCAAGAAAAAAACTGAACTGATATTTATATCTTCTCTCGGCTGTAAATCTGCTGCATAGTAGCATGCAATACATGAAGACGAATTTCTTCTACTAAATCCCTCCATCTTATGCTCAAATTTCTGATGCATGAAGAAATCAAGATGTTATCCAACATTTTACAGATTAACACAGAATTTTAGAGTCATTATTCATAAAAGTCAGCTGAAACTTTTCCATTTCCCCACTCGGATGAGCTAAAAGAATTCCAGCAGGTTTTCTTTCTTTATTTTCAACTCAAGGTTCCAACTTTCACAAGTTTCTATGGCTAAACTTTAAATAATATCATAAATAAACATTTACATGCATTTCCTATAATATTCTTCCATTTTTCCATTGATAACAGCCTGCAATTTCAGTCGATCATCACTTAGTTTTCACAGGTTCAGTCAATGATCATTTGAGTTTCAAACCAGAATTTTCCCTCAGTTGAAGCACACTTTCCTCTGCTAAAACTCACTTGCAATTCAAATATACACTTATTTATACTTAGTAAGTAGATATTAGTCACAGAAATTTACCTCTTGCCTTTAAGAGTTAGGAATTGCAGACGGTTCAGATTTCTTTCCAGGTCTGCTCTCACTATTTGTCCCGTTTCCTTGCTTTCGTTTGTTTGATTATGCTTAGCAGCTGATGGAGTTAATCGACTTCCTCTCCTCACGCCTAGTTCCACTTCCTCAGTTTGTTTCAAAAAGAAAGAAAGAAAGGAAGAAAGGAAGGAACGGCCTGGTTCTTTTCTCTCAACTGCAGTCGGTCAATTGAAGTAGCCAACAGATTTTCTCCTCTTATTAGTCACTTATCTCTCTGTTTAGAAGGCTCAAGAATCAGAAGAAGGAAATGCTACTCGGTGGTCAATTTTCCATTCGGTGCTACACACTTCAAAGCTGCTCCACTCGGTGACCAAACTCTCCAAATATTTCCTTCTCTCGGTTCCTATTTTAGAATTCTAATGGCTTGCTTGTTGGCTGCATGGTAGTTTAACCGAAATTCAAGGTTGGTTTGATCTTTTAGTTTTAGCTTATTTGCTTACTAAGAGCTATAGTTTTATTATTTGATGCATTGACCCCTAACTTTATTTGTTCTAATTTGTATATCCCTATAAGAAAATTTTCCACCATTCTAGAATATTTCTAAATTCTCAATTTTATAGAAATTCAATTAGACATTTAATTTAACCAATTATTTTTTATATGTAATATTTATAATAACCAAGTAAATAATATAAAATAAATTCAAGGCATACTCATAATTTTCTCGAGTTCTCACAAACAAGACCCCCGTTGATTTCTTATACTATTTTTGTTTTTCTTGCTAGTTTTTTGTAAGGATCGAAAACAATATAAAAGGGGGAGTGAATTAGGTGGTTTAAAAACTGGCCAAGTTGTGAGTCACTTTTTGAGTACTTGCCCTCTTTTTCTAAAAGACCACACAATGGAGCAATTGATGAGAAAGGACAAGTGCTTGTGAGTAGAAGAGATGATCAGTTTATATATCAAGACAGTAAGTAAAAGAGATAGAGTATCAAACCAAATACCAAACTCCTTTTGAGTTTGAATATCACTTTATAGAGCAAGTTTCTTCAAGTTGATCAACTTACAACCAATCTTTTGTGTACAAAGGAATGATCACTTCCTCCTTGCCTCAAGCCACACTTGGTCAAGCAAGGAAGTTTTACTATCACTTGGATAACCCTCACAAACCTACACTATTGAAGTAATTGAATCACATTAGAAAAGCTTATCGAAAATTACACAACTAAGAGAACAAATCTTCTTTGAAGAGTATTTTCATACTAAAATCACTCTAAATCTCATGTAATCTCAATGTGCAAAGTTGTTTTGAAGTGGTTGATTTTGTTCTATTTTTATGGGACCAAAAAATTCCTCAATTAATGCTTCCAACGGATAGAAGGCAGCTGAAGAGTCAACTAGCTGTTAGTAGTGTCGGACGTTTGGTAAACCAATTTCTTGCGTCCGAATGTAGGCAGTGACCTCAAGAAATTTTCTTGAATTATTTCAGACTTCCGGTACCTTCAATGTATGCGTCCGAAGGTAGGAGGTGAAACTGAAAATTTTTCTTCAATTCTTTTCGAATGTCCGGTGCCTCCAAGGCTTTGCGTTCGAAGTGTTGCAACGCTTGTCGGGCGTCTGGTGTTCTGATGATGTGCCTCCGATCGAGGTCAGTGAGATTAGAGGGAATGACTCAATATCTTCGGACGTTCGAGGATGAAGTTCTTCATGCGTCCGAAATTGTGCAAAGGTTGTCGAACGTCCGATGCAGTCTTCTTGTGCGTCCGATAGCAGTTTCAACATCCTTTGTGCTTAATCTTTGAACCTGTTTTGCTCTATTTCTGAAAGGGTCTATTGAGAGAACATTAGTAATATCCATTTGTTTTGTAATCATCAAAAGTTACGGATTGAGATAAACAATCTCCGCCTTTTTGATGATGACAAAACAATGGATTGAGGAAAATAATTTGGGCACAACTCCCCATTACTTGATGCATCCAAGGAGTAGATACTAATAATATCCTCTCACATATAGATTACTGGACACTCGCCTTGAGTGGACACTCCCCCTTAGAATGACTCCCCCTCACGTATAGATTACATATCCATTTCTCCCTCCTTTTGTCATCATTGAATCAACCAGAATCTAGTATCCAATACACATCATCAATATTTCCAGCAATATTAGAAGCCAAAACTATTAACAATTATCAGCAATACTATCAACACTTATCAGCAAACCAGAAGCCAAAACACAGCATCATCAATATTGGCAATTGTCAATAGCAATCATTCATCCAGTCAATATCAGAAATCAGAGGTCAGACTGAATTAAGCAATATTCATCCAAAAATCAGGGATAATCCACAAAAGCAACATTCATTCGAAATATAAAAGATAACCAAATAGTTTTACAGATCAACAGAGGAAGGGAAATAGAATTCTTAATACAGAACACACGAAATGTTTAAAATGCAAGAGATGCCAAAAGCCTATTATGAACTACCATCCTAGTCATGAAGCATTTGCCTAGAAGTGCCTAAATGGTAATCTTGGACGATCCAGGCCACCTCTTTGCTAGGCGAAACTGAACAGGATCCACTTCTTCCTCTTCAGTGTCCTCATCATCATCCTCTTCAGTTTCTTCTTCAGTTGCTAGAGCATTTCCCTTGTCCGGTGGTTGAGAACTGGAAGCACGGTACTCTGGAGTAATTTCAGTAGTTGGCTCAGTTCTATGCTCCTTTTAGTGTACATTCTCATTGTCTTGAGGAATGGGAGGCACAAGCAGATTCCTTTTGTCAATGAAGGTGGCTTCTTGTTCGGATGACATGGTCATCATCAGACCATCTTCAAAGAGTAGGATGTGCTGTTTGAGATCCTCAATCAAAGAAATGACCTCAGAATTGGATGAAGAGGACTTAGTGACTGACTTTTTAGGATGGATAGTAAAGGGTGAGACAAACATGGACTGATCTCGAGGAGTCCTAGGGATAACAGGAGTTTCATGAAAATTCTTTCTCCTAAACTCCAAAACAGTTTCCTTGTAGCACCAATGACCCTAAAAAAATTTCAGATTTTTTCTTTCAATATAAACCTTGGAGAAAACAGTTGATGCACTTTCTTTTGGTGATTTTTCAGTGAGGAGAATTTCAAGATGACCAAAGATAGGAGTCAAAAATTTTTCATAGGAAAGTTTCCTACGGCTATCAGTGCTGATTTTGATCAAGAATTTGCGCATAACAAAGCCAAAATCAATTCTGATTTTTTCAAGAAAGTAATAGAACAGGTAAAGCTCCATTTTGTTGGCATCAGTCCTATGACTATCAGTAGGGACCAACAGATTCGAAATTATGGAAAAGATGATCAAGTTTTGAGAACTGAGATCTTCCAATCTTGCCTCAGCAGGAGTATTAAAATGAGTTTGAAAATAAGGTATCAATTTAGCAACATGAAAATAATGATATACAGAAGGAAATTCTTCATATGAAAAAAAGTTTGCAATTTTTTTCTTTAAAATCATCAATTTTGGTTTCCAGAACAGTGTCGACAATGTCAGGGTTCAACTCTATGTTAACAGAATTGACACGTGAAACTAGATTAGTATGTGATCTACCCTTCCTAAGGTTAGCAAAGAATTGGTGAAGCATGTCAGGGTAGTATGTGTTTGGAATGGTCAGAAGATGAGTCCATTTTTGGAATTCAAAAAGCTTAAGAATTGGTTCAAAGTCAAGCTTACGAAATTCATATGGGATGATAGTCCTCTGAGTGATAAAGCCTTTCTGCGAGATCCATTCGAATCTCTCCCTGGCATCATCATCAATGAACTTGGGTAAGGGGGTTGATTCCTCTATAGTTTGAGTCTCAGATTGCTCCCTAGCAGTTCGTTTCTTCTTTGCACTTCGCTGAGCAATAGGTGCATCAGTTTGCCCACCAGATCTTGTTCTTGGTGACTTTCTGGTGGAAGTCACAGGGGCTTGCTGAACCTCAACATTTTGCTCAGCACCCTGTTGTTCCTCACTTTGCTCAACAATAGGATCAGCAGTTTGTCTTTCCTTGGTTTGAGCAATCCTTTTCCTTTTAGCGGACCTTTTTCCCTTTTTATTATGAGATTCCATCGCTATTCTGGGTGATTTCGTGACGGATGCATCAGCATTAGTGGGCTGCTCCAGTTCTTCTTCACTATGACTGATTAGTTGCTCTTCAGTTTGATGCTCCTCCATCTGTTCAACAGATGGCTCACCAGTTTGAACATTCTGCTTCTTCTTTGCAGACTACTTCGTCTTTCCACCACGAGTTCCAGTTCCCTTTTTGGAAGATTTGGTGGAAGGTTCGACAATCTCAACATCTTCATCTCTAAGCCTGAAAGTGCGTCCGGCTCCAATAGATCCTCTTTTTATTCTCACCATGATGCAATGCAGTGTGTTTTTGTTGTAGAGCGTAATGCAAATATATATCAAATTGATTGAATGTGCAATATGAACTACAATGGATACTTGAATTGCCCACAGAGAGTGAATTTTGAGAGGTTAGGGTTTCTGGTGAGAATTAGGATTTATGGAGTAGTTGGCAGTTGGAGGGAGTTACGAGGGGTAATGAAGGGGCAATAGGAATATGATGGTATTGGACAAATCAATTTCTTGGAACTTGTTTAGAAGAGAGACGAATTTGAATTTTGAAAATGGGAGAAGACGAAAAGTTGCGTCCGAGACAACGATAAGAATTATGAACTGAATAAAGGAAGGAACAGTCTTATAAGACGCAGTTTCTGAGTGTCGGACAGCCGAACGAAGTGAAGCGTCCGACACGACCGTTCGAACCAGAACTTTCTGGAAAACAAATCAAAAACACTGTCGGACGTCCGTTTTAACACATCGGACGTCCGATAAAGAGTGACCAGAGAATTTTTAGAATATTTTTTATCAGACGCCCAATTTTGTTCTCAAGAATACAAATTGATCCAATTGTAAGGCTTTTGTGAGAATATCAGCAATTTGATCTTTTGAACAGACATATTGAACACAAATTTCACCTTTATGGACAAGATCACGAATGAAATGATGCTTTATGTCTATGTGATTTGTCCTAAAATGTTGAATGGGATTTTTTGCCAAATTT